CACATTATTGCACTAGTCAAACATCTTTACTAATGGATTTCGAATCATGGCTATTCAATTTACAATTGAACCTCATCAACTACAACATAGTTTAACTTCAAATATTCAAAAAACTATTATTGTATATTCAAAACAAATGCAATAATCGATTTTCATCCCATTTATCCACTTTGAAAGTGCATGATGTTTGACAACCATTCTTAAACTTCTAAAATAGTATAAAGGCCTTTTACCTTTTCTCCTTCATAGAAATTTTCTATGATTTTTAAAGTATAGGGAATATAACTTGTAGGATAAGTTACCCCATAATTCATCAATTATGAATGTATTATATGAGTAGTATTGCAACCCTCACACGTCTTGGTTTAGGCTCAAACCTAGAGTTTATCGACTCTTTTAAAAGTTTGATTCATGTATCAGATAGACAATATTCATTTTACATATTCCACATTAAATCATAAAAAATGATTATCAAAGTCACGTGGAAGTCAATATACTTTCATTTTGTGTTGCCATCTCACAAAATATACAAATGAAAAGTCACTTTCATTTGTTCATTGTCTATCAATAAAAAAATAGGCATCTCAATCAATTAAATTAACCAAAACCAAATGATAAGACATTGGTTTGGCACAAATCTACCCAATGAACTTTCAATTCTATAAAATTGAATCACTTATCAACAAACTAATGCATATCGTAATGAACGATTTTAGACCACCAAGGAAGTCCAAGTTATAGAGGTTGAGGGGTTTGGTCGAAGAGATGCACTCCAAAATTCAGCATTTTTCATGAAAGGAAGCGACCCTTCACGTCGCTTGTTGGATGTCTGCCTCGTCGCTTGAGCACGGAAAGCATAGACCTAACACCCACTTGGAGCCAGGCTGCCACTTGAGCGGCGGTCTTAGATGACCAAAATTTGATTTTTCTCCTATTTTGGACAAAAACATCTCATTTATCCGAAATTGGTTTTGAGATTCTAAATATACTACGATCATCTACTTGACGAGTAGAACAAGTTAGTCTATGTACTTTCATGATTTGACCATTAGATCGTGTTTGGATACTTGGACGAAGTTGATACAAGATCAACTTTTATTCAATTTTATTAACCAAATTCCCAAAGGTATCCATTTCTATTACGAAAACAGAAGTTCAACACACTCAAAGTAAAGAAAGGAATAACAACGAATTTGCTTATTCCAAACCATTAATTCATCCATCTCTTGTCCATCAACACAACCAGACAACCCAAAGGTAGATAAAACCACAAGTGCAGTCAGTAGTTGCCAAGTTAATTATGTTACCAAAACATTTCTCCAAATGTTCTTCTTCATTGGATTGCCTTGCCTTCTCAAATTCATTGTTGTAGCGGTTGCCATGGAAAACAATAAATTGGTTTTTGATCCCCCTTATTGTTGGCATACCCTCCTTGGAAGGTGGTTTAATACACTCAAAAGGCATAAGCATATCCAGTAAATTGTGTTAGTATGGCATATGTATAAACATGAATTGAACAGACACAAACTAAAAATAAAGAACGCCTCAACAAATTCTGCACAAACTATAATCTTGATTGCCTTATTAAATTACTATTACAAATAGTTTCATAATTCTGAATTTGCAATCATATCACATAAAAACTATTCAATTAAATCCATGTATGCTCCACAATACACAGATTTTAATGGTTTTCGAAAATGGTGATCTCTTTGAACGATGATCCATTAGTAAGAAATCCTATGTATTCTTGATGATCATGAAACCCACACTTAATGCCATCAAATATTATCAAACATTATTTTGCATCTATTTTCATGGAATGAATATATATAAGTATTATTTTAAAAAGAAAACTTTTGGATGAAATATTTACATGCTTCATAGATAAATGACCATGGAAACGAACATGCATTATGCACAGATTTAATTAACGCATTTCAGAAATCATTCATAACCGTGTTGCAATATTTTTGTTGCATTCGGATGATTTTGTACAAAACCTAATTCGAGCATATTTAACATAAATTCGGTTCCTGATAATACAATCTGATTTTAGATTGCAATAGATATGAAAATATAAAATACACGAGAAATTCATTTGGAGATTGTTGGGGAATTTACACCAATAAATGTGCATACATTATATTTACAAAACGTACCGTTTATACTTTATATGTGTGAAATCAAAACATAAAATGACTTACCAAAAATTGAATTTGAGAATGCGAAATAATAATTACCGAAATTGAATACGTGACGATGGATTCAATCATTTCCATTCTTCAAATAAAAGGCATTTACATTCTTTAATTCATACATTTCAATATAAACAAAAAAACAGTTAGTCGTTTTTTTTTTTAAATCAAACAAAATTGAAAGAAATCAAAAAATGAAACAAGGAATTGCAATTGTCCTTAAGATGAATTTGCCGCGTATCGGTACTAACGATTTTTCGACAATCATCTCACAAGATACAACGATCACATCTCGCAATATGAACACTCCAAATTACATAAACCAACGGACTACTAACAAAATTCTCTTTCTAGTGAACCATGTTTTTATGCAATGCAACAAAAAGAAATGATATGAAATTATAAATTGAACTAATAAAATTCAAACACATGGGATCTATATATAGTAGTTGGAATGTTTGTCTCAAAAGACACATCTCTTGAAATTTATCTCTATATATGAAGAGACACGTCTATTGAAAATAATCCCACCAAAAGTTATGATCTTTCATATGGAAAGACACACATTTCCATTCAAATATTTTCTAAAATATTTCATAATATTCTACCGATTTTCCAACAATTCTCGTATTTAAGCAACTAAAATTTGGTTTAATTTTTCATTCATCAAATAATAAATTCCATTTAAATAATCGTACAAAATTCCAACATATACATTTATCCCCATTAATTCTCACTAATTAAAAACCATGTAGTCAGATATCCAAATTCATAACTTACAACCACAAAAAAATCATAAGAGTATAGATTCATTTATTGTGAGGAAAAGAAATTATATTGCCGTCGTGGAAGAAAGCAAAAGTCGCCTTCGATGGAAAAACTATGCACATTCGGTTGTTGAGAAAAAAAGAAGAAAAATTAAGTTATTGTTTGTGGTGGAACAATAAATAAGAGAAACTATGCACATTCAGTTGTGGAAAAAAAAAAGAAAAAAATTATTTAATTTTACTTAAGGCTATTTAAGTAAATAAGAAAAATACTAAAAATCGTGATGCTCTTAATAGAATTTGCAGTATTTATATAATTACCCTTTGATAAAAACTTGAAGAGGATTGATATTGTCTAAGAAATATAACAATTTGTCTTAATTTATTTTGATTGGCGTTACTGCAATCCGTGGAGAATGGCCTTGATTATTTTTACTTGTTAATTCTCGCCAGTTCAATTATTTTACATGAACGATCAATTCACTATATGTTAAGATTTGAGGTTTCATCTTAAAAATGTCAACTTTATTAAGTGGAATAATCCAAACTTCTATAAATTGGTCTACGTTTTCATTTTTATTTGATATAGGATTCTATTTCTTAACATGTCCCCACAAGATGGTGGCTCGTTTGAGCAGATCAATCTTGAAATCCGCGTACTCATTTTTTTTGAGTCTTAATCAAATCGAATTGCTCGTTAGAGTTTAATGAATTCTGATACCATGTTAAGATCTGAGATTCCATCTAAGGTCAACCTTATTAACATGAGTAATCCAAACTCTTATAAATTGATCTATATTTTTATTTTTATTCGATGTAAGATTCTATATCTTAACAATGTACTTTTTATTTCTTTCTCATTTATTTAACTCAGATGTTGCATTTTTTAAACTTCAATATTATGTTCTATATTTAGATATTGTCTATCTTTAAATTATATCGATCCTTTATTCATGCAAAACTACAAAAGAATTGATATAGAAACATGTTTAAACCCACGTCCTCGACTTTAAAGATGGCATTTCACCATCTAGGATGACGTAGTATATATTGTTGTTTTCATGAATGCATATAGAGGTGGAAAAACAGAAGATAATGAGCTCGGTGCTTTTGAAACTAAGAAGCTATTTTTGAATATGTTCGAATAATTTGATGGAATGTTTTTCTGACTAAAAAAGCTTATATGAGGTAACTTTTTCAATAAACTCTTTTACAAGATGCAGAAACTTGTCAAATGGGCCCGATGACTTGACCAGTTTATCAAGAATAGTTAGCAACTAAGAGTAAAATGAGCGAATTTTCATGGGCCCACCTGGCTCGGCCGCGGAAGAGACGCCGACCCCCAAGTCTAGGCATGATAAGTCATACATTTATGCAGTGGAATTTAACATATCAAACATGGTCTAAGTGGTCAAGATCAAAAGTAATAACAAGCATGGAAGTTCCACTATGAAGAAAAGCAGATTGCTAGGTGGAACAGAGAGTTTGAGCAGTAGACTATCCAAATAATTAGAGCCCATAAACTATAGTGAATAATAAAGATAATTTTTTTCTCGGGGAGGATACATGCTGCTGTGTAAGGAATGACTCATGTGACAACTATAAAACTACTTAATGTGTAACATTTCAAGAACCAGATTGGAATTATGGCATCAAATCAGTTGTTTCCATGGAACGAGAATCAGAATACAGTTCCCAGTATTATTCCACTTTTCCGAATAATCCAGAAAATAAAATCCTCCGGAATTTCTTCCTAAAGAGCACCATCCATACTTAAATCTATTGTCCCAAATCTACATCTCTTTTACAGCAAATCATAGCGGGTCCCAAACCTGGTTGAAGAGAAGAAGGTAACAACCAGTACGAAACTTTGGCAAATCTTAATTAAGGATTGTAAATAAGTATGCAAAAGGGTCTACATTTACATGGACTCTATTGGATACAACTAAGGAAGAAAAAAGAAGTTAAAATTTAGTACACGATACTGTACAGTATTGTCGAGTACTGTATATCAGACATGCGTACGGAAGCTTAGTCATGTTTCGTATGAAACTTCAGCTGAAAATTCTTCTTCTTCCCTCAGAATCCTCTGTCGTTGAGCGATGAAATCCTCAACAGTTCGCCTAAACTCTTCGTCACTCATTGCATCCTTGGCACAGGAAGTAGCCACCGGCTTCTTACCATAATTCACACTTTTCCGGCATCTTTCTGTCATTGACCGGCTTAGTTCCCGGTGAGGCTTCTCGGTGTGCATCCTTTCCATTTTCTCTGATTGACTTCTGTGTATTTTCCTTTCCTCGTGATCACAACTCGTAGTATATACACGGCAGGCAATTTTGGTAGTATGTTTTTGGTACTCGTAGTATTTCTTTCGACAGTTTTCCGTGTACTCATCATAGACACCATCTTTGGCTGATAACTGTCCCGATTTTAGGAACAGAATGACGATTATCGCGTTTCCAATTACAAACACGAACAGGGGACTAATTAAGGTGACAACAAGTCCCCTGAAATATTCACCAGAAAGTTTGAAAGCAAGAGGTAGTTGAATGGAAAATCTGGAGAGAATGATCAAGAAAACACATAGCTCCATGATTCTAAACAAAGTGGTGATCTTTTGAAGCTTGTTGTGCCTAAAGATCGCGTTAGCCTTCCCGACTCTGATGCCATGAACGTTGAATGAATCCATATCTAGAACTGGATCTTTCTCTTAGGAAATCCAAAATTTGAGAGACTTTTTTTTCGGGTATTTTACTCGAAAGAGAAGTGATTCAAGGTCAGAAGATTGACTTGAGCCCTCGAACTGAACTGAGATCAGAAGTGAATTGTAGTGATCATAGTGCAAAAAGAAGTGAAGTGAACTGTGGATGGTTTTTCTTATTTTCTTGTGGCTTTTGGAGTGGCAATGTCTTGGAGCAGTACTGCTATTTATATACATCTATAAAAAAATGATTCATCTTTTATTCCTTTACCAAGCTTGCTTTAACTTTGTAAGTAGCAGTAATTAATTTGTTTTGAAGAAGCGTGGAGCAGTTGGGCCAACCACTTCATTAGGAAAAAAGAGCATTTTATATTAAAATTTCGACTCTCAACTCTTAAGATATTTATTCTCGATGAATAAATCGAACTATAGTTCGAGAATGCTTGAACTCTTATGTTTTCCATTTTTACAAATATACATCAAACATATCTTTATTCGACCTTAGTATATTTGGTTTACCATTTTAGTATGTTAATTTTAAAACGAAGAGCGATGGAGTGATGGGTTGAATAATAACATTTGAAATAATTCAGTTGTAATTCGGAGAACTTTTAAAATTCAATGACAATTGAGGAACATTCGATATTTAGCCAATTATTTGACTTTCTCACAAGTTGAACTTGAAACTCTACATGTACAAAGTTGGATTACAACATTGGTTGACAAAATAACATCTACACCAATCATTTTAAAAACTGATTTTAAAATCATTTGAAATCAACGATCTGGATTTTGCCAACACATTTTGTAACCCAACTTTTGTAACTCAACTTCGTACAAATAGCTTTATTATTATTTTTAATAGTACAAAGTCTATCGATTAATTATTACAATAAACTATTAACACTTGGAGTATTAAAATTAAGGTTTCAGAGCAATGCTCAGTGTTAGTATCAACTCTTCACTCGGAAGAAAAATTCGTATGTAAATTATTAAAGGTAGTTGTTCACTTTATGAGGCAAATTAAACAAATAATTGGGCTTTATTGGGTCTACTTTAACTAACAAAGGAGTCGGATCTCTGGGCTCCACTCACACTTTGTTTAGCCCCCTGTTTCAAATTTAAATGAGACTCAACAATACAATCAACTTTAGTCTATAATGGGAAACATGACTTTCTATATCTATAATATATTAAATATCATATTGAGTGAAAATTATTTTTTTGGACAATTATAGCTCCACTATAATTCAATTATTTCAATAATACCTTACTTTTCATTTTTTAATATGTATTTAATTTATAGGCTATAATAAATACTATAAAATCATTGTTCATGCATATGAACATGTTATTAATTCTCAATTAATTAACATTAACATTAACATTAACATTCACATTCATTTAATTAATATTAATTAAAATTTCACATTCAATAATGCAGTTCATTATTCACGTCCATGTATGCTAATTAGAATCTAGTTTCAATTAATTGAAAATTAAATTATATTTATTTAGTATAAATGATTTAACATTCATTGTCACGTATATTTTTTTGGTATTAATTCTAAATTAATTAATATTCACGTTAATTTATGTATTGTATTTGCCATTCATCTTCATTTATGCATTTAGTTGTAATTCTCATATTCATATTCAAGTATGCATTTTATTATTTACGTGTATGTATAATAATTAATATTTATTTTCAGCGACGTGCATTTATCTCATATTTAAATCAAATGAGTAAATGGAGAGTAAATATTATTTTCACATCACTTGTAAACCATTTAAAAATAACGTGCAATACACGTTCAACTCTAGCTAGTCAATTTAACACTAAAAAACTCGTAAATATCAAAAGAATATTTTAATTGAGTATACAATTAAGAAGATAAGTATTTTAGCAGGTGGAGAATGCCTTGTATTGATATACAGAATTAGATATGCAAATAAGAATTATCTCTCTTCTAACTTATTATTGAAAAACATAGTTTAACACAGTTTGATTCTTATCCACCAGCGTGCTATTAAATGAAAAGAGGTATGGTTGCGTGAATCCTTTTTCGATTTGGTATGACTTCGACCATTCTCGATCGTCAATTAGTTAACAATAGATATATTTACTTAATGATCGTAGATAAAGTATGTATACAAAATTTTCGCTGCAAACCCAAATATTATTACAGCAAGGGAATGATAGGATTGTGGATTGTTTTTCCTAACATTAGTTAGTTTAATGCGTCAAATATATATAGAAAGCCATGAGATTGTACTTTTCAGAAGAGAAAGTTCATTGTAGATGAAAAAATAGAAGCACTATCAAACGTACCCTAACTATGTCTCTATTCTCTTTCTTGACCGAGGGGTGGCGTTATCTATCATCTTTGTGTTGATCCATCCTTCAATAGTACATATAGGAACGACAAGGGATAAACGATAGTGGGGTAATTGTTTCGAAGCTAGTACGAAAAACACGGTTTCCGTCCTGTATAAGTTAATTTCAAATCTAAATTTTTTATCAAAAAAATAAAAATTTATTATCATTTTCAAAGAGAACATAAATTGTTTTTAATAAATTGTAAAAAAATATATATATATTTACTAACTAAAGACATAAAAAAAATAATAAAAAATAAATGAGACAATGAATTGGACAGGGGACCTGCTCCATTCCGCTTTAACCGAGTATGGGGAAGGAGCAATGTGACAAAAATACCCAATTAGATGGTGGTGGGAACTGTCAATCCATTTCATACTCACTCCGTTGTTATCCCTAAGTACATATCTGGTTTTGTGCTATCAGATACTTAATTTTGGAAATAGGTTAATTCGTATTTAAAAGCTTTATATTGCATATCCACTAATTTTCAAATCAAAGGAAAATTATTATTAAGTTTCTTTATCTCCAAATCCAAGGGCCCTGGATCTTTCCACTGTCATGATATTAAAGTTGTGTATTATACGAAATGATTAAACAAAGCAAATTAATTCTTTATAGAACTTAAAAGCAACCTTTATGCTTCTGAAAGAGACAGAACAATGAGATAAGGATACTAACACGAATGTGAAACCTAGTTGGTTTCATAAATTGACCTTTTACACTAATCTAATTGTTTCAAGCAAAGGCACAAAAGATTTTTTTAATTTCAATTGATTCGTGATGTTTTTGGAATAAATTGACCTTTTACACTAATCTAATTTTTTTTTTCTATAAATAGTTGCACAAGGCAAAATACTGTGGGTTAAGAATATTTTTAGCCTGATTTTGCTGTTGTTGTATAGTCTTTTAATTTATAATTTTTTAACGACAATTAATTATAATATTTAAAATTGTTTAATGTCCAGATAATAATTAATTAAGCTAAACACATCATTTTAGAGGACTATAAATTATTCACAATATAAAGCATAACCATTGTTCATCACTGATAAATAGGAGTGATAAATGGAACAAGCTCAAGGCTCAACTCAGTTGGTGAACTGAGTGTGAACCGAGTTGCTAAACAAAATTGCAGCTCGACTTGTCCCACCAGATAGTCATATTTTTTATTTATTTATATCGAAATTGTATATATTTTTTATTAATTAGACTAGTTGGTTCGCGAGCTATTGACAAGTCGACTTGCACACTCACGAGCAAGTTAGCTCCCTTGAGTCGTTAGTGGGACAAGCCGATTAAAGAGCGACTTGCTCCACTTAACATCCCTACTAATAAAGCAAGGATTAACTACGTTGAGTTCCGATTACTAGAAGCACTACAAGCAATTAATCAAAATACTTTGTGAAGTTGAGAAGTAGGGAGTTTTTTTTTTTTTAATTATTTTATCAAAAGAAGTGATCCATTCATGTGTAGGGATGGCAACGGGGTCGGTACAGGACAGGTCGACTATTCCCATCATCATCCCATCGGGTATTTTGGTTATTTTTGCCTCATCCACATGCCCATTTAAAACGGAATGATGCGGGTTCAGGGCAGGTCGGGTCGGGGCTATTTATTTATTTTATTTTTTGCTTTTATTTTTTTATGTCTTTACTTAGCAAATATTATTATTTTTTTACCAATTTATTAAAAACAACTTATATTTCATTTTTTAATATGTATTTAATTTATAGGCTATAATAAATACTATAAAATCATTTTCATACATATATTCTATGTTATTAATTCTCAATTAATTAACATTCACATTCATTTAATTAATATTAATTAAAATTTTACATTCAAGAATACAGTTCATTATTCACATCCATGTATGCTAATTAGAATCTAGTTTCAATTAATTGAAAATTAAATTATATTCATTTAGTATAAATGATTTAACATTCATTGTCACGTATATATTTTTTGGTATTAATTCTAAATCAATTAACATTCATGTTAATTTATGTACCATATTTGCCATTCATCTTCATTCATGCATTTAGTTTTAATTCTCATATTCACATTCAAGTATGCATTTCATTATTTACGTGTATGTATAATAATTACCATTTATTTTTAAGGACGTGCATTTATCTCATGTTTAAATCAAATGGGTAAATGGAGAGTAAATATTATTTTCATATTACTTATAAAGTATTTCAAAAATAACGCGCAATGCACGTTCAACTCTAACTAGTTATTTTAACACTAAAAAACTCGTAAATATCAAAAGAATATTTTAATTGAGTATACAATTAAGAAGATAAGTATTTTAGCACGTGGATAATGCCTTGTATCGATATATAGAATTAGATATGCAAATAAGAATTATCTCTCTTCTAACTTATTATTGAAAAACATAGTCTAACATAGTTCGATTGTTATCCACCATAGCATGCTATTAAATGAAAAGAGGTATGGTTGCGTGAATCCTTTTTCGATTTGGTATGACTTTAACAATCGAAGCTCGTCAAGTAGTAAATAATAGATATATTTACTTAATGATCGTAGATAAAGTACCATGAATACAATTTTTTCGTTGCAAAACCCGAATATTATTACA